GGGAGGGGGCGGCTGCCGGTGCCGCCGTGACAGGGGGAGCTCCTCCGCGCGGGGGCCGCCTGAGGTGCCCGGAGCGCCTCCCACCGCCACGGCGCGTTCGCTGCGGGCGCGGAGTTTTTAAGAAAACCTGCCGCGTCGCGCTCAGTAGTTTGGCTTGTGTTAGTGTAGGCAGGCAGTAGTCACTCGTTACGCGGATCCTCAAGGACAAGCGGCTATTTTAGTTGTATAAAACCAAAACCGTGGGGAAACTTTTGAAAGGCAGCACGAGACCACCAGGAACAAAGCTGAATCCTGTGCCTTTTAACAGTGACAGCATCGGCTCAAATAGGGACTTAAAAACGAGATGCAAATGAGGCAAGAATTGATCAATCCTGTTTCAGGCATCTGGTGTTCAGCCCTTGAAGCGATCCCCTGGCTCGTGTCTAGGTCTCACTGGCTCTGTGATTTGACATTTCCCAGGTAGACAACAGACCCGGCTGGCATGAGGCAGCCAGCGTCATCTTCCAGATGATTTAGCTTCAGTCCCTCAGGTCTCTCAGACTTACTGACTCAGTGCCTAGGTAACACAAACGTAAGCCAAGCACCAACTTAGTTACTGCAAGGAGATTTGCTCTGCACAGCAGTGGCCTTATTTTGCATTCAAGGCTCTGCAGGGTGCAGCGCTAGTTTGACAGACCTGCACCCCTGCAGGAAAGGGCAGTCAGTCCTGCTACCCGCAGGGTCAGCGCAAGCCAAAAGGCAGCTCCTGCTGTGGCTGGGAGGGTGCAAGCCCACCCATTTCAGCAGTAGTGTGGTCTTACACCAAGTGCAAGCTGAACTTCACCTACGCTACATCAGTTTGCGTTTGTTATCCCAGATTCAGATGCCAGCAGGCTGTTACACTTAAGCTATCTTCCTTTGCATTTTTATTAAAAAATACATAACCAAAATGTGGAGAGTAGATGTATCGGCCTATCTTGGTAACTTGGTGCTGGGCATTCATGGTTTCTCATTTCTCCTCCTTTTCAGTTCTAGGTCCTAGTTCTTATATGCCTTTGCAGAAGATTTTCTGAAGCTGTAGTTCTTGTAGTTCTGTAAGGTGCAGTGAGCTCATCTAACAGCTCAGTGTGCTCAGAATGAGGCTTTTACTGCTTTCTTTCTGCTAGTAGTAGCATTGATAAGATCCTTCTATGAGCTGCTGTAAATCATTGAAATAGCATAAAGCTATCATGACATGATTTTCCACTGGGTTGCCAGAGCAGCCCACAGAAGGATTCGGTGAACACCTAAAGCTGCGTAAGGAAACAAAGTAGTTTTCCCAATTTTCATTTGCATGTCAGTCTGTGAAAGGCATTCAGCTTCCTGTGAATCTGTACCTTGTATTTGGTTATCACAACTGCGAGGAAGCCCAGAAAACACTGTGATGACAGGGCTGCACATATGAGTAACCTGAATACAGTCTGTGACACAATTAAAAAAAAAAAGTAAATTCAGATCACATTATTTAATGGTGGCTGTAACTAAGGAGCTCAGACAAATTTAGGTAAAACTAATCTAGTTAGAAAAACGGTGCATTTAATTATTCAACTTAAAATATGTTGGGTAAAGTAACTGTGATTTATCTTTCTTGTCAGATTTCAGATATACAATGCAGAAGAGGTTTCCATCAATTCTGGAAGGTAGGTTTGTAGTTGCTGGCTTCAGAAGGATGGCTGAAGCTTCTGTTGCATCTTATGTATAAAACCGATTTTATTATTGCTTAAAACTTACCCCAGGAGACACTGCAGAAGTGTTTATTGTTATGCATAGGTGTGGCTGGAATGTCAAACTGTCGAGTCCTCAGAACCGGAGGACTATACATCCAACAAAACTAGCCACAAAGGGGCTCACCCTCAGACATGCCTAACTTACAGCTGACACGGATTTTCTTATTTTTCAGTGTATTACAAATCCAATGAGTGGTCTGGAATTCACGGCATAAGGGAGAATGACCAAATGACATGGTTAAGCAGCAAGAACTGAAGTAAGAAAGATGTGTGATTAATTAAAAAATTATTTTAGAATAATTATTGTAAAAATGTCCACATTAAAACGTCCAGTTCATCTTTTTGATTTCTTGCCTTTGTACTTGTTTTTCAGCCCTCTGTGCCTGAACTGTTTCTTCTTTTTGATGATGCTTTTCACATCCCTATTGTGAAGCCACTTGTCACGTTCTATTTCCCACTGGATCTGTTTGACATCTGTAAGAGGAAAGGTGAGAAATAAGGAGCTGACGGATACCTCTGACCATGATGTGGAATACAGATGAATCACATAAAAGTTAAAACTCGGCTACTGTATTTATAAATGTTAATAAAGAGCAAGCTGCCAATTTTTTTTGACACCAGAGAAAGTTTTGGTTTTTTCATTTTACAAAAGAGACCCTACCATCTCAGAATCTCAGAGTTTAAGACTGCTCTTGCCATCGCTTTGTATTTTACTAATGCTAGACACACTTGTGTTAGGAGTACACAGTGTTTGAGTGCTGCTGTTAACATTTTTCAGGTGACACCAGCAAGACTTGTAAAAGCTCTACAAAGGACTGACTGTTCAATCAGTAGATACACATTTAATTCATTAGAATTATTTCTGTGAAACTA